ACACACACACACACACACACACACACACACACACACACACACACACACACAGAGCAGGTGTGCTGTCAGTCATGCTTGTCGTCATGATAACAGTAAACAGAAAACAGTTTGTAACCTGAGTGTTTACTGCTTAGTTTTAAATAAACTATTTTTTAAAACAATTTAAATTTGATTTTATTGACTTTATACTTAACATTTTTTTAATCTGTGACCTTTATTAATTATAAATATAAATAAAGCTCACTATCATGATTTGTATTGAAATGATGAACAACTTATAATAAAATAAAATGTTTATATATAATGTCAGAACTGAGTCAGAATGTGAGAACCGGGTCAGAACGGTGTTTCCTCTGGGTCGCTGCTTTGTCCCACAGTGTCCTTGGTGTGCGGTGAAGCGGAGCGGCTAATCTGTTGCTCGTTATCACAAACTAAATTTAGACTGTTTACATGTCACCCTGAAACGGCTTCCAGGAAGAAGTCTGGTCCCGCACACTGTAATGTGTTGAATCTGATGAAAAGCATGTTTTTTCTTCTTTCTGTAGCGGTTTAGTAACCCTGATCTCACCACCTACTAGGCAGCACGGTGGGTCGGTGGTCAGCTCACAGGAAGAAGGTTCTGGGTTCAAAACCTTGGTTGGGGTTCCTCCCACAATGCAAAAACCAGGTCCAGGAGAACCTGTGATTTACCTGCTTGACTAAAACAGACAAACTACACACAGCAGAGACCTGTGACCTGTGATAAACATTGTTTTCATGTCAAATAAACAAGGGCATAGTAACAATATTCATTATGCTATTTTTCTCCATTGTAAGGACACTAACCTTACTCTTTTGCAAAAACAAAGGCAAAAAATAGTTGTTAGTTCTTATTTTTTTTAATTCAGAAAATCTTTTCAGGACCCCACCTTTATGTTTCAGGACCCCAACTTTGGGAACCTACTGCCTTATTGTGTCAACGTAAACCAAACAGCAGCTTGAATGAAGTGGTTTTATTGACCGTCAGGTGCAGCGGAGGAAACATTTCTCTCATTGTGACTGAATAAAGCTGTCTCTCAGGTCCCAGTGGGTGTTTCTGGGAACACTCGACCGCGCAGAAGATTATCAGCCATCAGTCCGGTCAGGTGGATGGGATCTCTGTTGTGTGCAGAAATATAAAACCTTTACATTCACGCTGAGGGCAGAAATAAACCGAACCGACCGACAGAAGACATGAGATAATCCCTGAAGCTGAAACCTTTGGTGTCCTCTGGTTTTGGAGGTCGGTACAGTCTGTCCTGCTGAGCTTCCTTTAGTGGGAGAACCTCTGAGCAATGTTTCCAGCTCCTAAAAATACCCCTGGCAGCGGCGGAGGCAGAGTCCAACCATTCAGGTCGCCCTGTCAGGTGCTGTCACCCCCCGCAGGCTGGAGGACGGACCTCTTGGAGGGTTTCCTCAGTCTGAGCGTGTTCAGTTGGACCTCAGACCTTCAGGGTTCCTCTGAGTTGATCGTGGTGATTCTGTCCTGGATTCTGACAGCCCTCTGTTCACTTCAGTACCAGACCCGCCTGTTGGCTTAATGCACAAACATCTAGAGGATCTGGAAACCTCACCGAACCACCGGTACCTCCACACCAGAGCTCTGTGGGCCCACTGCCGTCCTCGGTCCTACCCCCATCATGTGAACTGGACGTGGAGCTCCTCCTTTGAGACGGCTCTCCTGCGGACTCTTTGCCGAACGTTCTCGTGAGAATTGAAGACGAGTTCGACGCCGAGTCGACTGTTTGCAGGAACGTTCCAGATTTTTAAAAGTTGAACATTTTTATGTGCAGAAAACAAACTGCAGGGTCTCAGTTTGTCCGTCTGACTGCACTAAGCTACATTCCTTAATCTCTTATTTTCGGCTGTTAAAGTCGATTAACGTCAGATTGAACCACTCTGCTGGAGGAGAGTTTTTGTTCTGATCCAGTCTGAAACAAAAACTTTTGGAGATGAGAGAGTTGTTCCCCGTTCCAGCGAGGCAGCAGAGACAACGCCTCAGCAGCCTCCCTTCTTCCTCCCTCTCCTTCCCCATCACCTCCTTCTCCATCCAAACCTCCAAGAAGTTCCCCTTCTTCCACGTGGTTAAATGCTGCAGGTACGACTACAGGGTCTCTGCTCACCTGAGAGGATTCCATCTGACGCTTCGTCTAAACGTAACGTTTCCACAGGTCCTCCTAACAAGGTGCTGTTTGTTTCCAGATACGAGGCAGAGAACGCCTTCTTCTCCAGCCTGAAGCTGAACGACTTCAACATCATCGACACGCTGGGAGTCGGAGGCTTCGGACGAGTCGAGCTGGTACGATCCTAAACTGGGTCCGGATTAATCCAGATTATCAGTTAACTGGGATTCACAACAGGGCAGGTTTAGACCAGTCTTAAACCAGTTTTAAACCAGTTTCAAACCAGTTCAAGACTTGTTTCAGACCATTTCAAGACCTGTTTCAGACCAGTTCTAGACTTGTTTCTGACCAGTTCAAGACGTGTTTCAGACCAGTTCAAGACCTGTTTCAGACCAGTTCCAGACCTGTTTCAGACCAGTTCAAGACTTGTTTCAGACCAGTTCAAGACTTGTTTCTGACCAGTTCAAGACTTGTTTCAGACCAGTTCAAGACCTGTTTCAGACCAGTTCCAGACCTGTTTCAGACCAGTTCCGGACCTGTTTCAGACCAGTTCAAGACTTGTTTCAGATCAGTTCAAGGCTTGTTTCAGACCAGTTCAAGACTTGTTTCAGACCAGTTCAAGGCTTGTTTCAGACCAGTTCAAGACTTGTTTCAGACCAGTTCAAGGCTTGTTTCAGACCAGTTCAAGACCTGTTTCAGACCAGTTCCAGACCTGTTTCAGACCAGTTCCGGACCTGTTTCAGATCAGTTCAAGACTTGTTTCAGATCAGTTCAAGGCTTGTTTCAGACCAGTTCAAGACTTGTTTCAGACCAGTTCAAGGCTTGTTTCAGACCAGTTCAAGGCTTGTTTCTGACCAGTTCAAGACCTGTTTCAGACCAGTTCCAGACCTGTTTCAGACCAGTTCAAGACTTGTTTCAGACCTGTTTCAGACCAGTTCCAGATCTGTTTCAGACCAGTTCCAGACCTGTTTAAGACCAGTTCAAGACTTGTTCCAGACCAGTTCTAGACCTGTTCCACACCAGTTCAAGACTTGTTTCAGACCAGTTCCTGACCTGTTTCAGACTAGTTCCAGAAACTGGTTTAAAACTAATCTTGAACTGGGCTGAAACTGGTCTTGAACTGGTCTGAAACTGGTCTTGAATAGGTCTGAAACTGGTTTAGACCCATCTTAAGTCAGTTAGATCAGTCTAAACCTTTTTTGGACCAGTTTAAAACTGAAACTATGTATCAGTGTAACTATGTACCAATGTAAACAAAAAAATCATATTTTCAGTTATGAATAAAAAAAGCAAAGTGTAAACATGTCACAACTTCAGACACCAGATATATTATTTATGACTTGGTCAGGTGGGTCAGGAGTTTGGTTTAGGACTAAGGTGTGAATAGAGTTTAGGTTAGGATTAGAGTCAGGTATGTTTAGGGTGTCAGGGTCAGGCTGTAGAAATTAATGGAATTCAATGCAATGTCCCCATAAAGGTAGCTCTACCAGACCATGCATCCTGAAGACATAATTCAACAGGTAAATCAGATCCTGGAGCAGAAAAACACGTTTAACTTGCAGGAAAGTGGTCCCTGAGGACCAGGACTGGACATCTTTAACCCAGCAGATTGTGACGCAGTGCAGACACAGGAATTGGGTTTCTCTGCCGCAAGAGGCGGGGCTTAAGGTAACTGTCGGTTAGGGGGGAAGCCCTGCAGAGGGTTTGTCCAAAAACAGGAAGGAGTCCCCGCTCAGGGTCTCCCGACGGTCCTGGAGAGGTATTTTTAGATGTTCGCTCAGTGTAACACTGATCTGTGGAAAGAGTTGATCTTTGACCTCCAGACTGCCTGCGTGACTGCAGAATGCTGACGAGTCGCTCCAAGTTTCCATCATGTGGCGAGTCGAACTGGCTCATCCTCAGAACTTTGGGAGTTGGACTCCGTTTGGGTTTTGGTTCCTTCACTGATCTGCAGAAGTCGAGTCTCATGCAGACTGAATGTTGACACTAAATTAAACAAAGTTCAGTTTGGACCAAATGATTCTGGGTCTTCGGTCTGTTGGACCTGTTGGCTCATTTTGGTCTCAGATTATTGGTTTTAGTTTAGAATAAAGAGATTTTATCCCAAACAGATGAAGAAGAATATTTTCTTAAACTTCCCTCAAACCCAGATGTTTAGAAGAATTAAATGTTTTCTCAATGGAGCTTTGTCCAGCTGCTGGTGTTTGTTCATCTGTCCTCTGGACGTGTGTGTGTGTGTTGGGGGGGGGGGGGGGGGGGGGCTCAGATAACCGATCTACAAATAGAGGATTGTGTCATGTTCTATAAAGGACACAGAGCTGTTTACAGACTGGCCTCTACAGAAACACCAGGGTCTGAATCAGGGTCTGAAGAACTGAAACAAGGATCAGCTGCAGCTAAAACAACCTCTTGGTCTTTGTGTTTTTGGACCTTCAGAACTTCAGACCACACACCTTGAGACCTGAGACTTTCAGACCTTAGACCTTCAGACTTTCAGATCTTAGACTTTCAAACCACTGACAATCAGTCAGACCTTCAAATCATCACATCTTCAGACCATCAGACTTTCAGATTTTAGACCTTCAGACCACAAACCTTCAGTCAGATCTTCAGACTTCAGACCTCAGAATTTCAGACCTAAGACCTTCAGACCTCAGACTATCAAACCATCAGATCTTCAGACCTCAGACCTTTAGACCTTCCCTCATTCAGACCTCAAACCATCAGACCTCAGATTTTCAGACCTCAGATCTTAAAACCACAGACCTTAGACCTTTTGACCTTCACTCAGACATTCAGACCTCAAAATTGCACTCAGACCTTCAGTCAGACCTTCAGTCTTTCATTCATACCTCAGACCTTCAGACCACAGACATCAGACCTTCAGACTACAGATCTTAGACCTTAGACCTTTAGACCTTCACTCAGACATTCAGACCTCAAACTTGCACTCAGACCTTCAGTCAGACCTTCAGTCAGACCTTCAGTCTTTCATTCATACCTCAGAACTTCAGACCACAGACCTCAGACCTTCAGACTACAGACCTTAGACCTTCACTCAGACATTCAGACCTCAAACTTGCATTCAGACCTTCAGTCTTTCATTCATACCTCAGACCTTCAGCGTCTTCTCAGTGACTTTGAACACCATCATCAAACATCAACCTGTTCTTCTTTCAGGTGCAGCTGAAGAGTGAAGAGGCCAAGACGTTCGCCATGAAGATCCTGAAGAAGAGACACATTGTGGACACGAGGCAACAGGAACACATTCGCTCTGAGAAGCACATCATGACTGAGGCCCACTCAGACTTCATTGTCAGGTCAGACGTGACTTCAGCACTCCTCCAGGCCTGCAGAGGGCAGCACCACACCCACTTATTCAACTAAAACTCTTTAAATCGCATCTTTTGTTTGGTTTTTATGTCTTTTTTAAATGTTTTTATAAAATTTGAACGAGAAGCTGCAGAGTCGGATCTTCAGACTCTTGTTGACTTCGTGTTGCTGGTTCTCAGGTTGTACCGGACCTTTAAGGACAGTAAATATCTGTACATGCTAATGGAGGCGTGTCTGGGTGGAGAGCTTTGGACCATCCTGAGGGACAGGTAAGCTGCTCACCTGTATGAATATTAATCCACCTGAACTGGTCTGGTTTTGATGGACAAACAGAAACAAACAATAAGGACAACATTTTCCTGATTAGAAGAAAAAACGATAATAGTTTAAATCCCTGAAGCTTATTAGGTCAGAACCATCTGGGACTTGCAGAACCTCCTCTGATTCTTGGTTCTGTTGGTTTCAGAGGTTCGTTCGATGATTCAACCACCAGGTTCTACACCGGCTGCGTGGTTGAGGCGTTCTCCTATCTGCATGCCAAAGGCATCATATACCGAGACCTGAAACCGGAGAACCTCATCCTGGACAGCCGAGGATACGCCAAGCTGGTACGTCTCTTCTCGTCTTCTCGTCTCCTAAAGTTCCTGATGAAAACATGGTTTGTTTTAGTCCAGCTGAATCTGTCTTCAGGTGGACTTTGGTTTTGCGAAGAAGATTGGCTTCTGTAAGAAAACATGGACTTTCTGTGGAACACCAGAATACGTGGCTCCAGAGATCATCCTCAACAAAGGTCATGATGTCTCTGCAGACTATTGGTCTCTGGGTATCCTGATGTACGAGCTGCTGACCGGCAGGTGAGGACTGCAACACCTGAGTCCACATCAATCAGACAGTTGGTGTTCAGGGTCCTACAGTCTCTGTTTGTGTCTGCAGTCCTCCGTTCTCAGGTCCAGACCCGATGAAAACCTACAATGTCATCCTGAGAGGCATCGACATGATCGAGTTCCCCAAGAAGATCACGAAGAATGCAGCCAACCTCATCAAGAAGCTCTGCAGGTAGGGAGCGCTGGTCTCCAGTTCAGAACTTTCTGGGTCCAGCTTCAGGTCCGGTCCATGACCCTGTTTATTTGTGTTCTCAGGGACAGTCCTTCAGAGAGATTGGGGAACCTGAAGAATGGGGTGAAGGACATCCAGAAGCACAAGTGAGTTGAGAGACGTTCACGTTACAGTTTTTATTAATTCTAACGAGACGTAACAAATGCTTCTTTGTTCAGGTGGTTCGAAGGTTTTAACTGGGACGGTCTGAGGAAAGGAACTCTGACTCCGCCCATCACACCTCAGGTAGGTAAACAGGAAGTTCACTTGTTTAAACCCAGTCAGTAAATCTTTATTTCTGTTGATAATACAGCTCATTTCTTCAGATCATAAACATGTTTGCACTCATTAATGTTAAATATTTAAAAAAGCAGAGACAGCACCCTGACTGTAACCTGATTCTATAATCAGCTGATTCTATAATCTGCTGATTTTATGATCAAGTGATTCTGTGATCAGCTAATTCTATGATCAGCTGATTCTGTCATCAGCTGATTCTATAATCTGCTGATTTTATGATCAAGTGATTCTATGATCAGCTGATTCTGTCATCAACTGATTCTATAATCTGCTGATTTTATGATCAAGTGATTCTATGATCAGCTGATTCTGTCATCAACTGATTCTATAATCTGCTGATTTTATGATCAACTGATTCTATAATCAGCTGATTCTGTCAACAACTGATTCTATAATCAAGTTATTCTATGATCAGCTGATTCTGTCATCAAATTATTCTGTAATCAGCTGATTTAATCATCAACTGATTTTATGATCAAGTGATTCTGTGATCAGCTGATTTAGTGATTAACTGATTCTATGATAGCTGATTTGGTCATCAGCTGATCGTAGAATCAGCTGATGAAATGATAAGTTGATACTGTGAGCAGCTGATTTTATCATCAACTGATTCTGTAATCAGCTGATTTATATGATCAACTGATTCTATGATCAGGTAATTTTGTGATCAGCTGATTCTGTCATCGACTGATTCTGTAATAAGCTGATTTAGTGATTAACTGATTCTAAGATTAGCTGATTCTACAATCAAATGATTGTAGAATCAGCTGAAGCAGTGATAAGTTGATACTGTGATCAGCTGATTTTATCAACAGATTCAGTCAGGTTTGTTGACACTAACCCAGTCCAGATCGGAACATTTTATTAAATTAAAAACATTTTCTGACCTCAGTAGGTAAAATCTGACCGTTTGAATTTGATTTTTATGTCCAGGTCTCGTCTCCGATTGACACCAGTAACTTTGACAGTTTTCCTGAGGACACGGATGAACCACCACCTGACGATAACTCTGGATGGGACTTTGACTTTTAAACTGGGTTTGGACTCTGTGAGACACGATGAAGAGCAAAGACCAGGAGGTGGACCAGGTGAAACACCTATGAAGTCCAGCTGGATTCATGTTTATGGCTGAAATGATGAAATGTCAGTAGGTGGAAAGAACCTGTTCCAGAAGAAACAAACTGCAGGTTCAGATCTGTCCAGGATCTGGATCGGTTCTGGAAACATCAGCAGATGTTGAATTTTGAGTCTCTTACTTCCTCAGATCTTCTGATTCTTTGAATTTTATTAAAGAACTGTAGAAACTGACAGAAAAGATTTCTCTTTATGATCAATTGTTTGTCTTCAGGAGAACATTTAGGAAGTTCTTCCATCAACAGGTGGACCTCTGTGATCTGCCTTTGTGCCCGGGTTATTGCTGCAGAACTTGATGTCCCGGATCTTCCTGCAGGAACAGAACTAATCAGAGCTCAGTTCCTCCTACCTTTAAAAAGAAATAAAATCCCTGCTTCCACTGACAACAAGACAAAGATGAACAAATAAAAAGAACATAAATGGCTTTAAAAACTCTGAAACTTGATATGTTTTTATTGACTCAAGAAGAAGAAAAAGACCGCTCCTCTTTAAAATCTGTTGTTTATTCCAAGTAAAAATGTAAAAAATATATTTTTTTCACATTTAAGCTGCTATTTGTTAATTAAAAACAAAATCCGAACGGAAGAAAATAAAACGTTCGATCCGAAATCAGAAACACAAGACAGAAATCAACAAACAGAACAGAACCTCCTGGTTCCTCTGCTGCTCAGCTTCAACTGGATCCAACTCAGAGTTCAGGACTTCCTGTCAGAGTTCAGGACTTCCTGTCTGTTCATACAGCAGCAGCAGAGGGAACCAAGCCTTCAACAGAAAAGTGAGACACTAACTTGCTAAAAGATCAAACGTCACAAAGTTCTGAGAGGAGCCCTGAGTGATCCTGAAGGAATTGTTCCACTAGATGGCGCTGCAGACCCCACACTGGATCTTTAATTTCTTGAGAAAACTGGATTTATACTGCAGGGCGATGAAGCAGGGATTACCATGTCTAATCATGTGATTGTTGCATGCCAAAAGTGACAGACGTGACGTTTTCTCCTTTAAAGCGACTCATCGTTCTGCTGAATTTCTGATGTTTAAAGTTTTCGTGATTAAAAGCTGTTTCGTACGGAGCTTTTTGTACAAGACATTTGAATTTTCTGATATTTTTGTGAAAAAGGTTTGTGGCATGACGTCTCTGCATGAAGACTGTAGTTTCAGCTCTCAGTTTCTACCACCAGGGGGCAGAGTGGAGTCTGACATCATCCAACTGGGTGGAGTTAAAGAGTTAGCCTAGCTTAGCATAAAGACTTGTGTCAGTGGGGAAACCAGCAGGGCATCTGGATCTTATTTTGTGTCTCTGGGGAAAAAAATGCTAGCAGGAAGTTTAGCATCTCTGAGTTGCAGCTAAAATATTTATTTATTTTTTTCGGACAAAGGGTAAAAAGTTTGATGTCAGTATTTCAGTGAAAGTGTTTTGTGTTTCTGAGTGTCACAGATTTATTTGTATATTGTGAGATATGTTTTTGTTTATTTTAATAAGGATGCTGCTTGTTGACATTGTAGCTAAATGCACCTTCTGTCTCAGTTCAGAAGAACTTCCTGGTTCTGACTGTTAAAAACCTAAATATTGTCACCAAAGCAGATGTATGTTTGGAAAATAAAAGCCTTGAAAATAATTTTGTATTATGTTTGAGGTTAATTTATTTAGCAATTTAATAAATAATAATAATAATAATAATAATAATAATAATAATAATAATAATAATAATAATAATAATAATAATAATAATAATAATAATAATAAATACACTTGGTCACAATTATTCAACATTTTGAAACCTGTTCCGTGTATTTATTGTTCATAGTTCCACAGGAATAGCTTCAGTTTGAATTATATCTTTAAATCCTAATGTTTTTCAATGTTTCAGAGTAAAACTACAAGACAGTAAAAGTACTTTAGTACTTCTTCAGGGCTTATGAGTATTTTCTACAAACTTGTGCTGATAATACTGTCAGTGTTTTATATTAATACAGACCAGCAGCTCTCAGAAGAAGAGGTTAGATTGGCTTATTGCTAAATTCATTCTGGTTCCAGGCGGGAATCGAACCCGCGTCTCCCGCTCAGCTCCTCTGAGGTGCAGTACCACTTTCAGCCTGACTGGGTCAGGTGGGGGCGCTGTTTCACCAAAACAAAAATATTTTGTCAAGCATTAAAAATCAGATTCATAAGCATTTTAAAAATATTTGGCTTCTAGTCTTTCTCTACACATTTTATTTTAATATGTGGTGTTCAGAACCAGACCCGGTTCTGTATCAGAGAACCAGCTGAGGTAACTGATGACGTCAGGTGAGGCTGAGGGACAAGCAAACTGCTGATGTGTCAAACTGTGAGGACAGACATGTCCCTCTACCTCCTTCATCCTTCATCATACTCGTTTTTGTGAATGAGACAGTGACGTCAACAGCAGGCTCCTCCCCCTCTGATGCAGGAAAAACCATCATAACAAGAGCTACTCCCCACATGTCACCCTCCTCCTCCTCGTCCTCCTCGTCCTCCTCCTCACAGAGGATGACTAATCCACGCAGGGAGGGAGGCGGGTCGAGAGACAGACAGAAACAGTGGGGGAGAGAGGCTGAGGGAGGGAGGAGACCACCATCATCATCCTCACTGAACGTGCAGAAGAAGAGGCTGAATTGAACTGGAGCTGGCTAATTCCTGAACATCCACTGAATGACTGCAAAAGAAGAAACCGCTGAAGGTTTCTGGAATAGAGAACAGTACGGGAAGGAGAGAGGACGTTTGATTTCACCAGTACACCTGACTAATAACTGGATTGTGGGATAAGTCTTTCTGGATCAGACTAATTCCTGTACAGAGGCAGTCCTGTGATTTTTTTTAAACTGAAAAACAACCAGCAGGTTTTTCTGTTCCCCCCATCCACCTGTGATGCCTCAGGGTGTGGGGCCTGGCTAATACCTGGAACCAGCTCAGTGACAGTGCTGCCGGCTGTGTTGACCACAGTCCTCCTGGGACCTGGCTAGTCTCTGCATCAGAGAGTCTGCCATGTTCTGTTTCTGCCTGCAGAGCTCTCTGCTGAAGCTCCAGGCTCTGGACGTGGATGGGGGGACATCACTGGGACCGTCCCCAGAGGACAGCCCCCCTCCCCTGGGCAGCAAAGAGCTAAAGACCCCCGGTGTCCCCGCTGAACCGGGTGGGAGGACAGCTGCTGTCTGCCACAGAGAGACAACCGATGAGAACATCCCCCCAGGTACACCTGATCTCACCTGTCCTCATGTGTTTGTCCTCACCTCGTGTCACATGTCCTTATCTGTTTGTCCTCACCTGTTTGTCCAACTGTTTCATGTCTGTCCCTAACAACCCTTGGGAGGGAGAGTGATTTGCATGTGAGTTCCACTCACTGATCTTTAGTTTGAGCTGAGAAAGTTTCTCAGATGAGATGTTGAATGTGCTCAAGATGTCCAGAAGTTCAGGATGTCTCATTGTCTCCTGAATGAGAAAATATTCAGACAGTGGTTTGATTGTAAACGAACAAACAAACAAACAAAAGGAAAACACCAGACTGAATAAAGACTCAGCAGTAATTTCTTCTTCTGGTGTCCACAGAACTGCTGATGGTCCTGAACAGACCTCCACAGCCTCCCAGACACCAGCCACTGACTGCCATTCACCCGGACCAGCTGCCCCCAGTCCCTGACATGCTCTCCCCCAGTCCTCGCCTCTCCCCCCAGAGGAGCAGTCCTGGAGGGGAGGGAGGAGGAGGTGATGGATCAGAAGGAGTAGGAGGCGGAGCCTTCCTTCAGCTCCTGGCGGGGCTCCCCAGCCCCCTGCCCTCCCCCCGCTGTGCCAGTCCCAGTCTGAGGTTCAACTCCGACCCGGATACTGCTCCGTCCCCACCCTGCAGCCAACAGTACATCCTGTGAGTCTGTTCACTGGCTTTACTGGTTTCTGTACCTGTTTTACTAATTATTTCACTGGTTTGGTTACTGGGACCATTAGGGTTGTTTAATGGGATCATTGGATCTAGTTACTGGGACCATTAGGATTACTTACTGGGATCATTGTGTCTAGGTCTAGGTACTGGGATCATTGGGTTTATTTACTGGGATCATTGGGTTTGTTTACTGGGATCATTACATCTGTTTACTCAAATAATTGGGTCTGTTTGTTGGGATCATTGAGTCACTTACTGGGATTGCCTGGTTCAGTTACTGGGATCATTGGGCCTCATGCAAGAACATGTTCGTATTCTTCTTCTAAATTTCTCTTACTTTTGTTCGTACAAAGGGTTCGTACGAACATGTCACGTCAGATTCAACAAACGCTTCTATCTTCAGGAAAAGTGTGTAAATGAGCTGCGTAAATTCACCTGTTCTATCCAGCTGCTCGTGCACGAGAGAGGAGATTAGCATAATTACCACCCCAAAAACACCATATAAGGATATGCCTCAGATACAAGAAAGTGTTCATTCATTCATGAAAATTACAGCGAAAACTGAAAAAATAAAAACTTTACGAGTTCAGAGATTGAAGTCCGTCTGTCAGAGATCCAGAAAATAAAATCTGTCATCTTTAGCAGGTCAGTTGTGGGATAAAAAGAGCTGCTAAAAGTATAAATAACTCATATAATAAT